CGAACCCGGCCTGTCCCGTGACCTTGGGCACGGCCCGGCGCTCGGTGCGGCGCTGCGCCTCCTGATTCCGCTTGGGAATACGCTGGGTGTTAGAGCAAGACATGGACACGCTGCCAGGACACAGGCATTGGGGGTGTTCTGAAATCACAGCTGGCGACTCCCAGCAGCAGGGGAGCTCGTCTCCCTCTCGTGACTGTGCCTGCAGAAAAACTGATTCCTGAAAGCTTTAAAACCGTTACTAGAGAGGACACACACTTAGAGATGTTTGTTTAAAGAAAAATCAAAGACAGCTTTTCCTGTGTATGGTGCCGACATATTTACTAAACATATACAGGTAAAATGTTGCATTAAATAGGCTCATACCCTCCCTACTTTATAGCTCAAGGCCATGGTTAATTCTGTGGGAGTGGAGGGCAGCTGAGGGAGGGGGGAATGGATCCTGGTTACATCAGCCATTTTGAGACATTGAAGAGTTGCATATTGGTGAAAAGAAATCATGGAACTTGTTTGCTTTTATGTGCATCAGTATAGATTCCTAAGTAATAGTAGGAAGATTTATAATATGGATTTGTCACAAGACGGTGGTCTTACACCAACTTCTTGTTAGAATTTTTTTTTATTTTTTAGTTTGACTCAGTTCACAGGTGACACATTCAGGCACATCAGTCTGCTAAAATTGTTTGCAATAAATAGAGATTAAAATATGAAAGGAATCATATGAGTAAGCAGATGTTAAGTCCAAAACAAAGTAAATTTTTTCTTACTGATTTAATTGCTGTATTTAATAAAACTGTACCTCAGCATGTGAATTGGTTTGCTCTTTATGCTTCTATTTATTGTGATGTTTCTGGAAAAATGAAGACATCCCTGCCATTCAAGTTCTGTTTGGTCAAATATGCAGCATAATAATTCACGCTATTCTGTACTGTTACATTGTGATGCTTCCCCATGGAGTATTGTTCTGATGAAGGTTTAAGCTTATTGTGGGCTTGCAGCATATCAGTCAAAATATATTTCAGAAATTCTTTCACTGACAGTAACCTAACTAACAGCTTATACTAACGAAAAAAAAAATCTTAGTTTGACACCTATATTTTATTTCCATCTTAGTATTAGCATTCGTAGAAGACTTAATTTTGCATTTAACAGAGTTATGTAGTGTGAACAATTTAGCGTGTTTGAATAAACAAGAACTCCCTCAGCTGGTACAGGTAAGGAGTCAAATAGGTTAAAAACTACTGCTTGTATTTAGGAGGATAGTGACTGCCATAACCGTTACAAATACAATAAAAACTATTAATTCAAAGAGGTGTCTCATGTTTAAAGTACAAATACTGGGACCAGTTTCCAGTGCCATCAGGTGAGGACAACTATATGAACTTTTCACAAGTTCTTCAAGACTGACCGTGATCCTAGTAGAAATTTAGTCATGCTACCCTATCTTCACTTGATACAACTTGTTTTGCTTGTAGCTATTTAAACCCCCACCAAACCACAGATCTTTTGATTTTAGCTGTTGTAAATTGCTCATAGTTGCAAAACTACAATGGGTAACCATTTATGCTGTAGGTGATACCCAAAATGTACACAATCACATACAAAAGTAAATCACATTTACTTAAGTGTATCATCCCAATACAAACAAAGCCTCAAGTGATCCTACCTAAAAATATCCTTGTGTTAGTGGTAAAAATATATTTAATGTCGTCCAGTGAGGGATGTTCTGCTATGAAGGACCTGCTACTTAGGTTGGAAATGTCTAGGTTCAACAAGTTAATAAAAGTTACTTCAATGCATGTTCTGAAATGATAGTTCTCAGCTTAAGTTTCTTTCTTGTTTTCTCTTTCCATTTTGGTCCTTACTTCAGTTTGCTCTACTTTCTCATGTGCTCTGCTGTCTGAGCAATTCCCCTAACATTTAAAAAATTAAGTGTGGTGCTATCTTCCTTAAACTGTGCTCCAAATCCTTAACTATCAGGAAAATACGAGTCTAGCGTGGGAATTTATGCTAGCAAGGCATAAGTTTGTTTTAATGTTGAGCACATTGGCCAACCAACAGATACTTTGGGTCCTAAGACCTTCAGACCTCTGACAGGAAACAAACACACTTTACAGAGGGTTAGGCAGAGAATTTTGTTTGTCATCTTGGATTAGCTACGTTTGTCTTGACCTTTCATTGAGGACTTTGACAAAGTCATTGCTATAGCATGCTGATGAAATCAGCTGATGTTGACCGTTTTACACAAGTATATCTGCTGTACTTTGTCCAAGAATTGGAACAAATTCCTGTTAATGTTATTAGAAATAAAAATTTAACACCTTCGTATCAGAAGAGGCATTATCAATGTGAAACATTTTCTTATGAAGCATAGGTTAAATGCGTAGAGGCATTCATTCCTCAGTACCATCTCGAGTGTAGTGAGACACTGATGTTACTAAATAAACCTGCAGGTTTGGTCATGTTACATATAATTGCCAATTAAGGGTCATTTAAGGTGTCTTAATGACTTGCTTGAAAAATGATCTCTACTGAAATTCTTATGTTTGCTGAGGATTTTTCTTCAGCCACACTAATCTTAGCAAGCAGTTGGCTGTGAGATAAAGCACTTGCCACTTCCTCTCAATAAACAGACAAGTACCCAGTTGGAACAGCCACACAGTTACACTAGTTTAGCTGAGCTTGGTTGGAGCTGACCACAGGATTCACAATTCATGGGTGGAATTCAAGTGGAATTTTATGTCAGAGTGAGGGGGCGTGATTAATGCAGTGTCTGTGTTAGGCAAACTGAACAGTCTTTCTTCTGCAGCAGGTGTTTTGTTGTACTCCTTCCTGAAACCAATGAACCATATCAATTATTTTTATTTAAATTGCTATATGATGTTCTTAACTGGCACCATGCTGCTTTGGAAGTCATTTACAACAGTGCACTGATGATTATATGAGTTTTCTGAAATGGTTTCATTTGATTTCATGATGAAGTTAGTCACGTGAGACAGGTTTGAATCTCCTTTTGCTCCAACAAGATGGGGATTTTGTAATTATCTGAAAAGGAATGTATTTCTAAAGCCTGAAAAAAATACGTGATAACTTACAGTTATTGACACGACTGATTTCACTATTTAACAGTAATCTGTAGAGTGTGTCTTGCATCCAGGTGGTATTCTGTAGAGGCAGGAGTTTTAGTGCTAATAACAAATGGTAGAGGTTCCTAATCACATTTTTAAGTCCCCTATCTGTGAGTTTAGGAATGATGAAAGAAGTATCTTTATCATGGAACTGTTTGAAGTAGGTGTATAAGTAGCCACTTATTTATGGCTACTGCTTGCAGCATTCAGGAGGAAGAGTTCATTGAAGTCTCCTCACTCTGTTTGACCCAAGCGTCAGTGATTCCCTGCTTCTAATCCTGTTTCTTGGACAGAGCCCTAGATAGTCTGTGTGCAAAAAACAAGCAGCAATTTGGACCAAGCACCAACATAGAAAAACATACGATAGCTACAAATTTATGTCATGAAGAATTCAGAAAGGAGGCTTCTATGGTCCTTGCTAAGCCCTGACCCAAACTTGCAGCTGAAAAAATGAGTGAGTCAACAACGTGTCTTTAGCTCATTGTCACAGGTCTTCATACTAGATAACTGGTTTTTTGTAGTGTATCCTTGTAATGACTGGCAGTGTGCCTGCCTAACATGACAATTGGTACATTTGCAAGTGTTATATAGCTTTATATTTTAATCTTTATTTATGCAGGGACTCAAACCAATAGTTTCCACTGAATCCCCATCTCTGGTTTGTGGGACAGCAACTAAACTTGCTTCAGATTTACCAGCAACAGATTCTTTCTTGGGTAAAAACCAGGTGCCAGACCTACAGAAACTTTTTCAGGTAACAACAACTTTTGAGAGTAACTAAAAAAAAAAAGAGTGATACATATCTTTCCTTATTTTAATGTGGATAACTACTTTTGCATTCTACAATACCAAACTTTTGTGAAGTCTAGTTAAGAAAGTGTCAAGTACAGTATAACCTGTGTGCTATACTACATGGTGTATATGCCTTGCAGAGGAGGTGAATACAGAAAGTGGAAAGTCTAATAACATTGTCTCTCTTTTTGCTGGCTTCAGAAGATGTTTATTATATTATTTGACTATTGGAAGCACTTTCTCTCTGGGAATCCAATTGTATGCCTTAAAGCAGGTCTGGAGGAGCAAAGCAGATCATTACTGTTTTATGTAAATTTTATGTATAATTTGAATATTACTGAAGCTGTTTATAATGCAGTATAAGAAGAGCACAGTAAAGTTTTTACAGACAGTTTGTTAGCTGTGTAATTTCTAAGTGTATTAGGAGTTTTCATAAAACAAACCCAGTATAGATTTTTTTTAAAACAACATCAAGAATATGCTTAATATAATATTCCCTTTTCTCTCTTACATGCCACTTTCATTTGGAATGTGTCAGTCTGAATTGGTGAATAACTTTTTATACATTTATTTTCACGTTCTTTTGTTAGTGACACTTTTCCCTTCCAGGTCCTCTTTAGAAATATTTCAAGATATTCTTTCTGCCTGCACTTAATAGCTTTGACTAATAAAATTAACTTGCCTTTGCATTTGTCTGGCTAAATGAAAAACACATAATACATTTGATTATACATAGCCTATCTGTCAGGCGATTTCCCTCATGGAAGGCTCTTAATTTACCTGAGGTGGTTTGTTCCTTATGGCCTTGGTATGGTTGTTCATTTCTTTTTTTGTTTTCTTTTTAAACTCTTCCCACACAGAAAGCAGATGGACTGCCAGTACACCTGAAACGAGGAGTTCCAGATAAGCTGCTTTATCGGACCACTATGGCTCTAACAATAGGCGGGACTATCTACTGTCTAGTAGCACTGTACATGGCCTCACAACCAAGAAACCAAAAGTAGATGAACCACAACTCATGGGACTCGTGATGCTTCTCTGAAGGACCTCCTGCATAGATCTCTTTGCACTTGCTTTAATCTGTAATGAAATAGGGTTCATTATTCAGATCAAATTTCTTGGATAAAATGTTTTTAAATTGGTTGCCTTACGTGTTCTAGAAATCAATATAAACTGACTTAAAACCATTTTAACATACTGTTGTAGCTTTGCATTTGTTGTCTTGCAGGAGTGTATGAACAGTTGGAGAAAGTTAAGCTCTTCCTTTCTTCCCTCTCAAAACTTAATGCTAGAGGTAGGACCGGAAAAATACTTTGTGGGCTACGCTCCACATTCCTTAGTGGGAGGATACAGCTGGTTTCTAAAACAGTAAAAGCAAATAATTGAATTATTGTAACATGCTGGGAACCTGTTTCTATCATACACAGCTCATTTTACATAAGCAGGTGGCAGTGGAACTTTTCCAAATGCTGGTATATTGTTAAATATTTGTACCTCTGGTGGTAGGAGAAAGTGCTTATCTCCTTGGAGTATTTAAAGTATTTATTCCGTAATGTTAGCATCACTGCATGCAGCAGAGTGCACCAGTATTGCAACATCAGTTATACCAGTTTTTGGACTTTAATTTGTCAAATTATCTTATTGTGCAATAAAGATAACTACATGAATAATGAAACAGGCAAGTTTGAAAGTTTCAGACCACTTCAGCTAGCCTGGTAGCAAAATAAACATGTCAGTACACTTTTGTTTTAAGTTCAGCTTGCAGACCTGAAACCAGACAATTGATTCAGCTACCTTATTGTAATCTTTTGGAGATGATAACCCTCTTAAAACCCTCTCTTAGAAATTGTTGGGTGTTTAATTTGTGGTGAAGCAGGTCACTGTCATAGCTCAACTTTATATTATTTTCAGTGGACACACATATCTATTTATGTACACACATATACACATTATCCTTGCTGTGTAAAGTAAAAAGAGAGACAGAAAGCACACAGTAGGTTCTTGTCTGTCTTCCCTGCATACCACATATTAAGCATTGCCTACAAGAATCTTCCAATAAAGAATACTTTGCACGCAAACTTGACAGGTAGATTTTCATGAGCATGAGCTTTGTTCAGAGGATTTTTATGCTCTTGACTATATTTCTTTGTTTTGTTTTACTTTGTGGAGGTTTTTTTGTTGTGTGGGGTTTTTTTAGAAAAACAACTATTTTTAGCGTTCACACAGAGGATAACTTTCTGCTTGTTGCTAAGGCAGGTGTGGATAAAGTAACTAAACTGTTATCGCATAGCTCATTAACCAGTGGAAGTACTTTTCCAAGTATTTGAAAAAACAACAGAGACTTAGCACTCAGGTTCAGCTTTCTTAAAGGGAAGTCAGCTAGGAGGCTGGGTTAATGTATTGCTACAGAGTTCATGGTTGGAGTTATGGATATCAGAATTGTCTTCCTATTGCTCTGGGTCTAGCTTTTTCCAGCTGTCAGCAGCTAAAAACACATGTGCTATAATGGAAAAGAAAACACCATCAAATTTTGCAAATAACCAGATACTAATCCATTTTCTTCCTTTTTTTTTCTCTCCAGTGTTTGTATTTTGAAAAACTTTTTTCACTTGGCCCTTATCAAAAAAGCTGACCCAGTTAAAGCAGGATGAGAATGCCGCTTCAGCTTGTCAGACTCTCATCCCTGGTTCAGTTGGAGGTTAAAAGAACAAAACAGCATTGCTTGTCTGCAGCCATTGGGCAGGGCTCCAGTCGTAAGAAAAAGGGGAGCGCATTTCTATATTATCTTCAGAGCAAAGTGCTCTGAAGAACAGGAAAGCTTGCAAGCTGTATCCAGAAGGTTAGGCTGTGGCAGCAAAATCTTGCCCCTTTTCTCAATTAGTTTTGAGATAATAATAAAGAAATTATTACATGATAAATCCTTTTTCTTCCTAGAAGAAAAGCTCTGTTAAATATCTATTTAAAAATATTTCTGATGCCAGACTTCTGTAAGGATTCAAGAAGGTTTAAGTTTTTTGAATTATTGTTTGTGATAACGAGACCTAATAGTCTTTCGCCTTCAAGAACACCCTTACCTTTAAAAGGAGTAGTCTGTCCCTGGTCTGATGTTAAATAAGGTCTTACATAAGAACCAGGAGTGAATTGCAATGTCAAGAAGGCTACTTCAACATTTTGAGCTATCCTCCCCACAAGTAAGAAACTGACATAGGTACTACAACTTCATTAGGTGTGTGTTATGTTCTGCCTTTTTTTTTTTTAAAGACCCTCTCCGTTTTGTCTTAGAAATTACATGACCTACCAGCACTGAGAACTGAGAAAACAAGATGCATTTTTAAGTGATATCTTATACCCTAGTGTTTTGGCTTCAATGCACAGTAGCAAATAAATTATAATAAACTCTCATACCCCAGGGTGCTGGGCTTGGAAGGGAAAGCATCTGAGATTTACAGTACTTGGGAACAAAATTATCTCATGGATAATCATCCATCCCCCATGGCATTATCTTATTGTTGAGAGACTGGTTTTCCTTCTTAAATGATCTCTTTGACAACCCAAATTCAATAGTTAGTTATATCTTTGTAATGGTTTTTAAACAAGATCTCTATCCCTACTTTTTATGTGGGAGTAGTAGAATAAATGTACTTGAGAAGACGTTGATAGTATGCATGTATGTCTTTCAGCTGCTTTAAAATTAAAACTATGTTAAGGAGAGGATTCCTCCACAGTATTTCAGTATGACCATACCATCTCAACAGGCTTTTGCCTTAATATTTTAAATTGTCATCAGACTGATTATTTCAATACTAAGACATTAATTTATTGATCTCACCTTAAAGTAAACTTGTCAAATTAAAAGGCACTGTAAAGTATAAAAGAGAAACTAGGGAAATTGTAATCTAATCTTGCAGACATCAAAAAGCTGAAGAGTGTTTAAAAGCTGTTTCTTCACACATCTTTACCTAGTACTTACTCCCTCTTTACCCTCCTTCCTCCAAATTCAAGCCTTCCAAGAGGCTTTGAAGAGTCACAGATCAGTTTTTTCAACTCCTGTCACAAACCGTTAGCCCTGCAGATCTTAAAATTTAAAAAATCCAAATGCTTTTACACAAAGAGAAGAAAGCATATATTGGCTAAGTCACATACAAAGTCACGCTAAACTGTTCTAAAAAGTTACAAGTTACCTGCATTTTATGACACACTATGCTAACTTTTTTCCCTCTCCAGCCCTTAACCTGAGTGAAAAGTTTCACAGGAAGCCAGAGTTTGATCTGTTTTAAAAAGGAAACTGCAAAGAACTTGCCTGTAATCTAAGCATTAATTTTAGCAATAGACTTCAAAAGCCCACCTTTTAAGTATTTTGCATATTCAGTACTAATTGCGTCTTAATTTATTAAAGATTATTAATTTGAATCAATTCCAGTTAGCTGCAGTATAAGTGATGCACAGATTTCTGAGAAGTAGAAGCATATTTGCTGTGAAAGGGAGTGCGAACATGCCTGTGGGTCAGCAAGTAAGGTATATGCCATCAAGTATCAGTATGGCATCTCACTAGTACTAGATCTTATCTCCTGGTGCTTCTTATATGATCCTAGACTGCTTTGGGGTATGGCACTAGACAGAAGGAATAATTTTATTTGTACATCAATTATCTCAAAATACAAGAAAGTTAAACTCAAGGGTCTGTTCCCCCCACCCCACCCTGCTTCGGGCAGCCTGTATCTGGCCTAGAAGAAGGCATTTGTCATCTATCTCCAAAGAGAGGTGGAACTTATGCTGAAAACATTTCTCTAAATGACTTTGCCCAGTGGATCCAGTGTTGTAAAACTAGGAGGGTGGGAGGGAGGGGGAAGTGCTTTGTCTCACTTCGTGTCAGCTGCATACCACTGTCACTTTTGTCCCTTCCTCACTCCCACAGTTTTATTCTTAAAGACCATGACAAGTTTTCTAGTTTACTTCCTTGAAAAGGAATGAAATTGTTTCTAAGGGCTTCAAGAGAACTTCTGAAATATTCATATCAGAAGGTATACATTTGTCACGTGTTTTTTCTCTGCAAGTTGGAACAAGTCCTGGAAGTCTCCTTTGTGCAGTACATGATCCTGTCAACCCAACAAGTCGCTTCTGCTCCAGGTACACAGGTGAGCTCCTTACTACAGTGGCAAGTCTTTGAGGAAGCTGATCTACAGATGTGCAAATGTAGGGACATCAAATGACTTGCTGCTTCGAAGCACCAGACTGTACAGCAAAGAAATATAAGAAATACTTCTTCCCTGCAACATTCTTAAACTGTTACCTTGAATGTACGTTGTACCCATTTTTGTATCTTCCTTGAAGTACAGTCACACACATTAATCTTGCTTAGTTGCTTTATCTGTTTATGATGTGGTGCTGCCTCAAACATTTTGGATTCCCTTTCAGATTTCATTACTGAGCCGTCATTTTGAGCACCCAAAATTAGAAATTTAGGCATAAATTATAATGTGCATCCATTACAAAACTTTCACTTGAGGTGTAGAGCAAAGACAGCTAACAGCATCCATAGCAGAGTTCAGTATGACCTGCCACTGTAAACCAGATGTTCTTCCAACCACACAAAGCCATCCTTAGTATTTTGCAAAGTTCTTGTTACATGTAAGGAAAAAAAACAGTCATCTGTTTCTAGCTGTTTGTGTCATTTTGGTTACAAATCAAATGTGAGTTACTCTATTAAGCCTTCATTAATAGGAATGACTTATGCAGGATATTCGTTTCAATACAGTAATAAAAGGTTTGAAATATATTTCATGGCTTGTATAAGAGGAGTTGCAAAAAAAAAAAAAAAAAAAAGCCTGATTCTCACTTATTTCATCTACTGTAATTGTTATACCAGTTCAAAGTAAACTTATGATAATGACATTTTAATTCAGCGGCCAGCTAGGGGTAAGAAAAATTCTGGGGCATTTCTATTTCAAGTTGATTTTAAAGCAGTCCATTCAATTTTAAGCAAAACCTACCAATTCAAGTACTCTAACCTTCAGAAGTTAACTTTACAATAGAAGGAAGTACATACTATTTCTGAAGCTTTAAATGACAAAAAAACCCCACAAAACACTAGAATTTCTGGAATAAAACCATCACACAGAAATGCATGCACTATTTTTTTCCTCCGTGTGCAGACAAAACTATTAACTGAATTTAACCCGAGCTTGAGTATTGTTTAGCTTCCACAGAAACTGAC